TATATGGTGCCTTCATTCAGGCCATTTTCAGGCTGTTCTTTGGGCCATTTTCTGGCGCCCGCAAAGACCAGCTGGCCCAGCTCCAAAGTAGAATTGAGATAAGAATTTTAGATAATGTTGTAAAATAAGATATGAGAACATGAATTGGGATTGGATAAGATAAGCTTAATGTTTAATAATGACAAGGATGACGCAATATGAAATTAAACAAACAAAATGAATAGGTAACTATGGTCATGTTTGTATGGAGATGTGAAACCTGTAACCACACTGCACTTGCCAAATGAGAATTTTTTATTGAAAAAAAGAATAAAATGAAAACGGAGAAAATTGAATAACGGAATTACTAGTTTAATTGATATGGTAGTAGGCATTTGGAGAGAGTAAAGGTTGAAAATAAATATTGAAGAAGTATGAATTAATATGAATATATGCAATGAGAGATGTATGATATATTGATGCAACGCCGTCAATGTATTGTTGTTATATGTAGATTGAAATAAAAAAAAATTGAAAAAAAAAGAAGAAAGTGGCCTGAAAAACTCTCTGTTTTTTTGGGCTGTTTCCTGGTACCTGTGAAGACCAGGTGGCCAGCGCGCATGTGTGCACCAGAAACCAGAAGAACAGCTGGCAACATTGTGTGTGCCCACAGAGGTGGCTCTGCGTGCCATAAGGTCGCCATCACGGGCCTATTCTGACTTTCTCTCTGGTGAGAATTTCCAGATTAATCTAAAACAGGAAGTCCTACAGCAATGGGGAAAGTGTCAGCGATGGCTTTCTGCCCCTTCCGTAGATGTTGCTTTTGGGTGGTCTTTGAATGTGGAGCAACAGAGTCTCTTTTGGGTATTAAACTTGATTTTTTTAATGTATGCTTGCAGAGTGGTACAGCAGAAGTGGAGCTCAAGAAAGGCGCAACTCTGAAACTGACTCTCGACAACGCTTTCATGGAGAAGTGTGATGAGCATGTATTGTGGGTGGACTACAAAAATATCATTAAGGTTGTGGAAATCGGCAGCAAAATCTATGTGGATGATGGCCTTATTTCCCTTAAAGTTAAAGAGAAAGGTAAGTCCCAAAGGCATCCCGCCCAGTTTTTTTTTTTGCAACGAGATGGGCGACAAATGAATTTAATAACTAAACAAATGCTAAATAACATCTTAAATAGAAGCATATCATTGGACCCACCTTTTAGAAAGCTCAGCCTGTCCTGTGGGGTCCCAAGAAACGTTACAAAATCACAGCATCGCCACTTAAGTCACTTGCAATGAGGCAACCTGGCTTGATGATGCTCTCAACTAAGGCTTATTGAAAAAAAATTATTTTTATGACCCTGTAATTCCTTTTGTTGGGGCGACTGAGTGGAACTGAGCATTTACTGGCTGGACACCCTTCCTGACACTTAGGCAGAGTTCACAGCAGATATTTTCTCTTTGGGCTCCAATAGAGCAGGGGTTGCCAACCTTTTGGACCTCAGGGACCACCAAACTTGTAATTTTAAATCCCAGGAACCACTAACTGGTTCTGTGGGTGTGGCTTGGTGGTCATGTAACTGGCTGGGCATGGCTTGTATGTAAATATTATAAATATTTATATCAATATTTGATTTTATTTTTATTTTTAAAAAAGCAACTTTTACCCAAAATCAGGCAAAGCAGGCAGGCAGCTTGAGTTGCTCACAGATTCATTCAGTGATCTATTTATCTGCCATCGGCTAGCTCAGTCTCTCAAATTTGCTTGCCGTGAATCTGCATTGAATAATAGAACCTTCAGTCCTAAGGGAGGTTCCGCTGTGCTTAAAAGCAGAGCCGAAGATCTAAAGACTAGCTAGAAAAGCAAGAAATCCAACCATTTCCTGCTTCCTAGCTAATCTAAATCTCCCAGCACAGCAGAACAGCTGATGGTCGGAAAAAGGAAAAGTAGCAATTTAGCAGGGTAAAGGAGTAAGTGGGCGGGGAGGGTTCCCCGGGCCATGTGGGCTGCACAGCCTTGTATTTCTGCACAGCCTGGATTAATTGCTTTGGAGAGGTGCTCTGGGGGTGAGATTTCTCTGCGGTCCACCAAAATTTTCTCAGTGGGCCGCCGGTTGGCAACCGCTGTGATAGAGGACCATCAGTCATTGCCTAGCATCAAACTCTCAACCTCCTGAGTGTGAGGCGATCTTCTTCACCTCTCGGCCACCCTGCTTACTTATTGAAAAATCATCTACACCATAATCAGCATAATAGCCAATTTGACTAACGCTCGTTTGCAAAGAGCTTACAAGAATAAAAAGTGACCCTGTGGATCCCAAAGGTATTTTTCCAAAAAGTCAACCGGGCTTCCTCCTTCAGTTCTGAAGAAGCTTCTTGGATGAGAAGCAAAACGTTTTCAAGGAAAAAACAACAACCAAGAAAGTCCTTTTTTGGGGTGGGTGGGTGTGAACCATCTTTAGGACAACCATGACCTGGACGATTGAGAATCTCCACAGACATTTTGTGACCCTGTTGGTGTTTCAAATCCTTTTGCAGGCGCTGACTTCATCCTGACCGAAGTGGAGAACGGTGGGACGTTGGGTAGCAAAAAAGGTGTCAACTTACCTGGGGCTGCCGTCGACCTCCCTGCCGTTTCTGAGAAGGACATCCAGGACCTCAAGTTTGGCGTCGAGCAGGACGTGGACATGGTCTTCGCTTCCTTTATCCGCAAAGCGGCTGACGTCCACGCCGTCAGGAAGGTGCTGGGGGAAAAGGGGAAGAACATCAAGATCATCAGCAAAATCGAGAACCACGAGGGAGTGCGCAGGTGAGTGGCTGGTTTCAAGACACCCTGTACTCCACCTGTCCATGACATGGCCCAATCAACCTATCAGATTTTGGAAACTATATTAGCACCAGAGGCTTCCACACTGCCACTTTCTTGAGCCTGGAAAAATGGGAGGGGGGAATTTCTTGGAGTGTATGTGGTTAGACATAATAGCATTCTTTTTCTCAGTCAAGGTCATGTTATTTCTGCACCTGGGTGAGAGGACGTCTTAAGCTGGGATGGATGGTAATTGGGGCATGTGATGCAATGAGGGGTGCAGGGGGTAGATTTGTATTTTGTACTTATTGCAAGAAAATCTGAAACTTTCAGATTCGAGATTCCCCAGATGTGGCAGTTTGCTACTCTAATAAAAGGAACTTTGGATAGGATGTCTGCCTCAGAGTTATTTGTTTGGAGTGGAGGTTTTCTAGAACGCTGACAGAACCATCATCCCAACTGGAGACCTTCCTCCAGACACCCCTCTCCAGGTGCAGGGCAACATGTCCTTGGCTCTCTGAGAAAGAATGTTGAGTCTAGTCTTCCACCTCTCCATGAAATCCCCCCCCCCCCCCACACAACTTCCCAGGCAGCCTCGAAGCTTCTAAGTAAAATATGGCTGACGCTGGCTTCCTTACTGGCTGCCTGTCAGAAGATCCCAAAAGGGGATCCTATGCCCCCGGGACACAGCAACCATCATCAATAGGAACCGGTTGCCAAGCATCCTGAGTTTTGATCCCGTGACTGTGAAGAGTGCTGCAACGGTCATAATTGTAAAGAAAGGTCATAAGTCGCTTCTTTCACTGCTGTTGTAACCTTGAACCGTCACTAGATAGAATAGAGTAGAGTAAAGTTCTTTATTGGCCAAGTGTGATTGGCCACACAAGGAATTTGTCTTGGTGCAGATGCTCTCAGGGTACATAAAAGAAAAGATACATTCATCAGGAGTCAAGAATCATCAGGTACAACACTTAATGATAGTCATAGGGTGCAATAAACAGATGAACTGTTGTAAGTCAAGAACTACCTGTAATTAACAGGACTCTGAAGTCTGCTTCCTCCCCCTCCCCCCATGGGTGTCCTTGGCTTCTCGCCCAGCATCACGGCCTTCCTTTCTCATAACATAGCAATAGCACCTAGACTCCCATACTGCTTCACCGTGCTTTTACAGCCCTCTCTAAGCGGTTTACAGAGTCAGCGTATTTCCCCCAACAATCTGGGTCCTCATTTTACCCACCTCGGAAGGATGGAAGGCTGAGTCAACTTTAAGCCTGGTGAGATTCGAACTGCCAAATTGCAGTCAGCCGGCAGTCAGCAGATGTAGCGTGCAGTAGACTGCCTTCCAACTACTACTTTCTGTGCCACCGCAGCTCTTAATAACCCTTCCCTCTTTCCTTTTCAGATTTGATGAAATCATGGAAGCTAGCGATGGCATCATGGTAGCCCGGGGCGATCTGGGTATTGAGATTCCAGCTGAAAAAGTCTTCCTAGCCCAGAAAATGATGATTGGCCGATGCAACCGTGCCGGCAAGCCTATTATCTGTGCTACTCAGGTATTTGAAGGCTCTGAGCAAAGCCATTGAAGGGCTCTGTAGCATGTGAGAGTTCTCCAAATTCTTAATAGGACATCTTGTGCCCATATGGCCAAGGGAAATAAAAGGGGGCAGAGTTGAATGGGGTGCCTGAAATAGTAAAAAGAAAAAATTACCATGAAAGCTTGTCTGGAACCGTTCTTAGAGGATCTTAAAGGTTAGCCTATAATTAAGGATTTAACAGATAACCAGAGTTGGAAGGGACCTTGTAGGTCATCTAGTCCAACTCCCCGCCCAAGCGGGAGACCCTACACCGTATCTGACAGATGAACGTCCAATCTCTTCTTGAAAGCCTCCAGTGCTGAAGCTCCCACAACTTCCGCAGGCAACTTCTGTTCCATGGGTTGATTGCTTTCACTGTCAGGAAGTTTTCCTTATTTCCAAGATAAATCTCTCCTTGTTCAGTTTCCATCCATTTGGCTAACAACTGGGATTGTTGTTGATACCTAGCAGAACATCCTTAGTTTTTTACACTGTCCTTTACAGCAGTTAGTTTTAATAGTTTCAGCGGGGAAAGACTGCTAAGAAGTTACAGCAACTTCTTGAAGAAAGTTGGAGAAAACAATTCCTATTGTGCTTCATTGGACTGGTGGGGAAATATTGCTGTTGAGGCACGTGGTCAGGACACCCCAAAGCCAGAGGGTGATTCAAGAGTTCAAACACAGACACAGACACCCCCTAAACTTGTCCCAAGGTATAACTTGTCCCATAATCCAGCAACTGTAACTCTGCTTTCAGACTGGCAAAAATAAACTAGTGATCGCGACTGAAGCATATACGCGAAAAGGTTTAACCCTATGAAACAATTGGAACAAGCCCTCTCAACAATAAGGTGATCTCAGTGATGGGATTAAAAAAAAAATTATTACCAATTCTGTGAGCATGGCTTGGTGGGCATGGCAGGGGAAGGATACTGCAAAATCCCATTCCCTCCCCACCCCACTAACCCGCTTTCCAGCTCCATTCTCCTGTGCAGGGCAACCAAAGAAGACCCAGCCAATCAGCTGGGACTCAAGAGGCGGAGAATACATGGGGGCGGGGCCAGTCAGAAGTGGCATTTGCTGGTTCTCTGAACTACTCAAAATTTCCTCTACCAGTTCTCCAGAACTGGTCAGAACCGGCTGAAAACCACCTCTGGTCCCCAACCCTTGGTCTGTGAACCAGCACCGGGCCATGGCATGCCAAAAACCAGGCCATGCAAACAAGTGAAGCCCCATCTGTGGGATGGAGGCCATATGCGAAACCAGGTAGTTTGAATTAGAGTTTTAGCTAAGGACTCTTTAAGATGGACTGTAAACGTGGACATAGGGGAAGTTTAGAGAGAGTTCGAAGCTGAGTTCACCTGAATTCACTGAATTCTTTGCTCTGCGAGATCGTTTAAAAATAAGAGGCGACTTTGGGGCAAGTCAACTTTCCATTTTTCCTGCCAGATGTTGGAGAGCATGATCAAGAAACCCCGCCCGACACGTGCTGAAGGAAGCGACGTAGCCAATGCTGTCCTGGACGGAGCCGACTGTATCATGCTATCTGGAGAAACTGCCAAAGGAGATTATCCCCTGGAGGCTGTCCAGATGCAGCACCTGGTAAGTTGGCCCTTCAACCCTGGATGCCTTAGAAGCACTGGGCTCCCCCCCACCCACACCCCAGTTGCCCACCCCAACAAATCCTTTCCCAGGCTAGTAACTCGCATTTATATCCAGCAGTGGTTGATCTTCCCCCTGATCTGTCCACCCAGCTTGGTGTCCTCCAGATATGTGAAAATTAAAAAGTATTGCATATCTGGAGAAGACAAGCCCTGTTTGGAGAAGACAAAGGCTTTCTTGTGAGCATGCTGGTTTAACATCTGGACTGGGGGATCTAGTAGATTTGCAAAGGCTGGGACCCCTGTCATCTGCGTCTCGGGTTGGCCAAGCTGTCCAGATCCCCCATGTTCAGTTTTAAAAGATCTTTCATTGGATCCTTCCGTTGAAATGAGAAGAGAATTGCCTTGGTCTCCCTTGCATGTTAATTCCCATTGTTTAATTATCTGGGATTTAAAAGTAACTTGGCTTCTTTATGTCGCCTGGGGGGGGGGCGGGGGGAAGGAAATCCACAACGTGGAAATACGCGGGTCTGAATCCCACACTCAAATTCTGGACCAGGCCAGGGGGTGGGACTGGGTGGTCCCTTCGATTTTAGTTCTGCTGAACTATTACGCCCATGGAGAGTACCTAATTTACAAAGTGCATGACTGACCTCGTAAATTGCCCGAGAACTTCTCTGATCTGCTTTGGAATTTTGTAGTTTTTTCCCCCTTGACCAACTTAAGCACCAAATATACCAGAATTAAAAACACTGATTGTGTTGGCTGTTTGCTGTGGATTACAACAGCCTTATAACCTACTACCCGTCAGCTGCAGTGTCAGGTCAGTTAGCTTCCTCAAAAAAGAATTCTCCCCTCCTGTTACGAGAAGGTTACTAACGCTACCTCTTGGCTTGGGCTGAATTCCTGATAACGTCATGGTCCCTCGTTGCACCAAAGAAAATGATTCCCAAGGCGAATAAGCATGATTGTCTTGCTCCTACTAATCCTCTAAAACCGTTTTTTTGTTGAAATGAGCAGGCACCCCAACAGCTTTCTACAGCCTCTATGTTCCCATCTACCTTCAGATCATTTAGGACAGAATGCCCCAATGTTTCCGGCTTTGTGGACCGGGGTTTTAGGGTTAGCTTGCGCAAGCAATGCGCATTCACGCCTGCCTCTCACAGCAGATGGAGCATGCATACATGCACTCACCTGCTGGCCGTTTCCATGGCCCAACTGGAAACCCCTCAGGTTGGGGCCCAGAGGTTGGGGACCGCTGATTTAAGGGCAAAAGGCTGGATGAAATTTAGGGAGTATTAGTCCGTGCCCACCTAACTAGTGCCAAAGGGCAGTTCTTCCAAAATATTGGAACCCAGGAGGAATTGATTCAGACCTCTGCAATGGCTCGAACAAGAAATTTCTGGCACCACCCAGAAAAGTGCACAAATAAAAAAAGAGTTGACCTGCTTTCTAATAGCATTCAGAGATAAAAGTTAAAATTCAACCTTCCTGTTCATCTCTGTTTTCATTAGAGAATTACACACAAAGATCTTAAGAGCCCTCAACATTTGCTGGGTTGTGTTAAATGTAAGTGACTATTGAAAGATTTAAAAACAGTGTCCTATTTGCCATAAGAATCTCAGGAGAAGCCTTCGTTTTCAATATGTAAACATTCAGATTATAATATTTTGAACTAAGGGAAGGGAAGAACAATCTGATTTGGTGACTTGAAGGATATCAAAAACTTTAAGGCTTCCAGGAGTCGTTAAAAAGCATTTTTGAATTATAATCAGAACCTGCTTTTCCTAGGATGACAAAATAAAGAGGAATTTTGTCTTTATGGATGGGGGGTCCTTCCCTCCTATTAGCCTCCGCCTGTAGTCTGGAGCCAGACACGAATTCACACAACCTCATCTTTGAGAACAGATCTGCTGCTGTAACATTCCCAGAAGGGTATTTCAGGTTGCATTTAGATACAGCTTCTAAGACTCACCTCTTCATCACTGTCTTCTGATGAGACTAACCATCTGTATCATATAATGGGTTTCTGGCTTTGTATCACCTTCTCCGTCTACCGATCTTTGTAAAATTCACATTAATCTTGAATCCTTGGGGGCTAAGGTACAGTCGAAACTGTAATTTTCAAAATTGGTTTATGTTGCTTTCCCTAATGTGTATCATGTTGCAAATCATTCTTATCGAATCTTACCTTAACTGCCTAGTTATAATAATCTGGAATATGTAGAGCTTTGCATGCTATAAAAAATGCTACCCAAGTCTCAACTTTTGGCTGGGAAAAAACACACAAAAGCTAATTCCAGAAGCAGGACAAACAAGTTTCGATCCATCTTCCTTGAAGTTGGGATTGACTGTTATTTTCAAGGAAGCTCCTGAGCATGTAAGCATGGGATTTTACATGGCACTTGAGCTCAGGGGAAAGTGATTACTTGAATCCTTGCACTGGGTAACTTAAGGGAGAAAATCTTGAGTTTGGGGCAAATTCTTAACAAAGCAGCTGGCAGATTCTCTTTTAAGTGGAATTTCTACAGCCAAATGAGTGACTTGGTTTCCTGCTAAAAAAAATTGGGATGGAGCAGCAACAGAGTCCCCAAACCTCAGGATATTTTTCCAAAAGACAAAACAAAAAACAATTGTTCCATGACACATTAATGTTGGTTCTGCAATCAGAGCTTATCACCAGCGCCCCGAATCCTTCGGGTTTTAATTTCTTCGGGGGATTTGAGCAACTCACCTCTCTTTCCACTTGGCCTGAATGATAATCCTTGCTCTCAAATGCTGATTTGTGACTTCGGTGGGCCGTTCAGGTTTGGGAAGCTGGTGGCTGCCTCACCCCTCACTGTCTGTCACGCATGTCGAATAAGCCATTAAATCTCTCTTGCCTTATTAACGTGATCATATCACTCGATGTATCTCTTTCCTTCTTTTCTGTGACGCTCCTCCCTTCCCTTCCCTCCCCTCCCTCTCGCTCTTGGCCTTACAGATAGCTCGGGAGGCCGAGGCCGCAATCTTTCACCGTCAGCTGTTTGAAGAACTTTACCGTCACACTTCTGGCAGCCGGAACCCTTCGGAAGCCATGGCTGTCGGCGCAGTGCAGGCCTCTTTTAAGTGCTTAGCTTCTGCTCTGATAGTTTTGACAGACACTGGCAGGTAGGGCTCAGAGTTAGCCAGAGTAACCAAGTAAGTTTGTCTAGAGTAGGGGTCTCCCACCGTGGCAACTTTCAGACTTGTGGACTTCAACTCCCAGAGTTCCTCAGCCAGCAAAGCTGGCTGAGGAATTCTGGGAGTTG